GAACCTTACCAAAATGAGAAAAAATTTCTGTAGTGCCTGAATTCGTTAAATTGCTATTCCAACTTTATAGATTATCTGTTTGACAGTCGTCAAAGTCATAATCAGAATTATATACCTAATTTTTTAGCCTTGTTGCCATTTTTTCCTTTGTAATAAATTTGACATCATTTTGTAATTTAGTGTGTTTTAATTTCTACCGTAGCTATTGCCATTTCAAATTCCATAGCTAAAATAGCGGGATCTAACTGTAATGCTTGAAAACAAACTTGGCGATTTAACTTACGGAGTTTCGTTTTCGGGACAAAATGCTACTACTTTGGCAGTTGTGACATTGGTTCTACGCAGTGGCACACTTTTGCTTTTGGCTTAAATTTGTCCATCAATTTTTGATTATTTTCGGACGACACTTTTTTGGTTTTGACCTACACGCATGCAAATCCTATTTTTTGGAAACACATCAAGGTTTTTGTCAAGTACTTTATGGTTTTTAGGTCTAAATATATAGTTTAATATTTTTATTCTAATGGCTAGTTTCTTACTTGAACATTCTTATTGGTCGGATTCGACATTGGTGATACATAAATATTTTTTCATTCTGTAATGCCTACTTTTGTTGTCACTGCTACTCAAATCTGTGATGAATTAACATATTTTGCTTTGTGCTTTGTTTCTAAAGTTGGTTAAAGTTTAAAATGAGCCATCTGCTCGAGTTCAGTTTAACCTGTGTTCGACTGATTTTTAAGTTTTTGCCTAATTTTTAATTTGCAATTAGATATTTCGTATGCTTTTCGTAATAATGAAAATTTTTGAATGCTATGTACTTCTTTTAGAAAGACTAATTTAATCTTTTCATTGCGCTACTTGAAATTATGACAACATCCGAGAATGTTAAAGTATGTGTTCGTTGTCGCCCTTTAAGTGAAGTAGAGGAGCAAACTAATTGCTCGGTTGTTGTGGAGGTATGCTGTTTTTTGTACCATATGTTATTTCCAAGGTTAATGAAGAAACTGCTACTGTTTCGTTGAAGCATCCCACCAGAAGAGAAGATGAACCACCAAAATCATTTGTATTCGATTACACTTTCGGATTTGAGAGCAAACAGCTTGACATTTACAATAAAGTTGCTAGACCGGTTGTGGAGCAAATTTTTGGGGGCTACAATGGTAAGTCGTTTCGTCTCTTTCTAGTCTCTATTTTCAGGAACTATTCTTGCTTATGGTCAGACTGGAACTGGCAAAACCTTTACTATGGATGGGATGCGTGCAGCCGCAGAGTTGAGAGGGATAATACCAAACTCATTTGCACATATTTTTGGTCACATCGCAAAGGCGGATTCCAAGACCACATTTCTCGTTCACATATCATATCTTGAAGTCTACAATGAGGAGGTAACTTCAATTTTGCAAAAGCATTTTCACCTAAAAGATCAGGGATTTGTTAGTGAGGAATCAAAAAAAGAAGCTAGAAGTAAAGGAACGACCAGATTGTGGGGTTTATGTAAGAGATCTGTCAAGCGTAATGGTTCACTCTCCCAATGAAATGGAAAGGCTTATGAATTTAGGAAGCCGTAATCGTAGGTTATACCTTGAAATTTGTTTTCAGATTTCGCAGTGATGCACATATTTTTTAGGTGTTAGTAATATAGTCATAATAGACCTCACAAATCTTTAGTTTTGTTACTACTATTCCTACAGAAAGAAGTGTTTTATGATGTTAAAAGCCTGGTTAAGGTTCTCCACTTTTAAACTTCTTAGATATTTGTGTTGTTCCAGCACATTTTGACTTGTCCCCTCTTTTAATTGTATTGATTTGTTCTGAGATTTGTTAGGTTCTTAATTTTGCTACTTACCTTTTGTTGAGCAAATCTCCATGAAGTTGAAGTAATAATAATTTACCCTAGTTCCATTTGCAAACTACTGAGATATAAGAATACCCTGAAGCTGCTATGAAATTGTACTATTCATTTTGTGCTGACCTATGTTTACCGAAAATACTTTCTGCCTCTCGGAATTCTTTAATAACCACAAACAATAACTTTTCATATAATTAAAGCTCACTCAGGACTGCGAGTGTGCTTGTAGTTATTTTTGCCCAACGAAAGTCACATCGGAAAGTCAACATGATCAGTTGGTCGGGCACCAGGTGCAATATTTATGACCACCAAAGACACCATCTTTGTGTAAACGTACCACTTTCCGTTGTAATCAGGCGCTCGATTGTCACTATCCAACTAATACAGGTTGCACTGCGGCCACTAATATGAACGAACATAGTTCGCGTTCCCATGCAATTTTCTCTATAACCGTTGAGTGCTCCGAACTCCTTGGGGACGAAAAGCGGATTCTTCGACAGGGAAAATTGCATCTCGTTGATTTGGCGGTGTGTTTTTATGTCCTTTTGTTCGAGTATCCACGCAAACCTAATAATCACATTTCAAAATGAAAAGTTTTTTTGGTTAATTTGCTATCAAAAGCTGGTAAATGATTTGGATTAAATGAAACGTACTTTTGGAGCAGGAATGGGAGACTTTATCGTTTAATCCACCCAAACTGAACTTATGTACAAGTAGGTGTATTGTAAATCCATATGTGGTGAAGGCTAAGCAGAAATAATTTTGCTTTCTTAATTTAGGATGAGCTATAAAATTGTCTGGTCAAAGTAGCGTAGACAGTTTTAAAGAATTCTTAATGTTAAGGTAAAACAATAATTTAAGTTTGGTTGGTATTACAAAAAGTTTGCTTTTGCATTCAAGGGTTCTGAAAGGCAATCCAAAACCGGAGCTGAGGGACAACGTTTGTATGAATCAAATAAGATTAATCTCTCCCTTGCAACACTTGGAAATGTTATCTCAGCACTTGCGGATGGTAAATCCACCCATGTTCCGTACAGAAACTCGAAACTCACCAGGCTTTTGCAAGATTCTCTAGGTGGAAATTCCAAAACCGTAATGGTACGTATTTCTTTAATCTTCAAAGTCAATATTTATCCTTTCTTTGATAAGCTACATAATAATCTTACTAAAATGTTTCGGACGCTTGTGTTATTATAATAACACTGAATTTCTATTGAATATGAAATTTCATTAAACTTCGTTTTGTCAACAAAAATACATTAAACTAAATTGGATGCAGAAAATTTGTTTTCTGATTGTCTATACTTCCTGTAAAATAATAAAAGATTCCAAAGACTTGTAGATAAGACATTACCGCTATGGCAGAATAAGGAATTTTAAAGGGAATGTAAAAACCTTTCTTGGTGGTTTAATTAGCAGCTGTCTTAGATAATTATTTTGCAGTTGTATCGTTTTGCCTCTCAATTATGCCTTAATGTTATTATTTCCATTGTTTGGTTCATTTTGAAAAAACCTATTTCTTTTTATAGTTACTTCCGTGTTTCCCCATTCTGTTCAATTTCCATTGTATACGTGCATTAAAATTTTGTTTGAACAGCTATTGAACGACTGGTATTTTTAATACTAAAATGAATAAGTTCGTTGAAACATTGATTGAAAATGTATGTGTAAAAATGCACTGCTTTGGCTATTTTTGCAGAGTGTAGGACAGACTTCCGTAGAAGGCTGCTCAGTCAGTTTTGTTGAATTTCGAGTAGCCTAGCACGTCCATACATTCGTACTCGTAGATCGCTAATATCGGGCCCACCGACTACAATTACGACGAGTCAATAAGCACGCTACGCTATGCCAGTCGAGCAAAGTTGATAAAAAATGCCGCCCGAGTTAACGAAGACCCCAAAGACGCTCTGATTCGACAGTTCCAAAAGGAGATCGCAGAACTTCGTGCACAACTTAGTGATGGTTGTTTTTGACTTAATTATGGTTTCTTGTGGCGAGGTCCTTGCATATTTTGGAGCATTTATTTAAAGTACTTTGTCTTCATTAATTGTCCATCTACATGCCATTAGAGAAACCCTATGATTGCAATCTGATTTGTTAAACAGTAAATGATATTGCCATCGTCATGGTACAGAATTACAAAGTGCAATTTTTTCATTTATTTACCCATTAGTTGAGATTCCAATGTTGCATATATCGTCCTGCTCCACTAATTATGAGTTAAATAGAATTGAAATAGCGTTGGTCTTTTATTTTGCTATCTGAAGTCGTTGTAAACGTGCGTTATAATGTATAGTTCATTTTTTAAGTCTGATTATTGCATCATCTAGCTATATAAGGCCCCAAATCTGGTTCAAATCTATCATGCTCTCTTCGGTCGTCAACTATTTTAGTCTTTTTATGACTTATTAAGATAAAATCATTCCGTAGAGTAGTAGTAGCAGTAGCGATTTCTAACAAATACTAACGTTTTGCAGACATTGCTTGCACCGAAATGGGTGCCGCAGAGCTTCAGAATGAAATGCCCAAGGGAGGTGGAGGTTTGAAAAAGAAAAAAGGTGAGAATAAATTGAGTCAGGAACAAATATGTGAAATTGAAAGTATGATTAATGCTGACCGACGAAAACTGGAAGAACAGAAGGATATGGAAGTTGAACAAAGGAATGAAATCAAGGTTTTTCAATTCTTATTCACCATACTTATACTCTTATGCATATTTCACATAAATCAACCGACTGCAATGGGCAATTTTGAGTCTTGAAAAATAGTGCGAAAAATTAATTTAACGTAGATGAAGTTCTAGCATGACTACCTTATTGAGGGCGATAATCAGGTACTATTTCCATGCTTTCCGTTTGCATGAAGGTCATTACTGGACGTTCAAATCATTCCACCTCCAGGTAGTGGCCTATCTGTTGATTAAAAACCAAAGGTCATCTCTTTACTCTCATTCGTAACTATTCTAAAGGTTCACTAAGTTTAAATCCCAACATTTCTTCGGTTTTAACTTCAAATTTTTATGCAGACAAGCCGTCGATTTAACCGCTACAGATATTGCATGGGACATTATTTGGGTGATAAAGTTTACGTGGTTGATCTACACCAATATGTATTGGGAGTGTTTGTAAGCTTTCAAGTAGTTCAGTCGATTTTTCTACTTAATGCCCATACGCACAATTCTCCATTCTTTAGCCAGGAAGCTAATCAGAATCTCGAAGTTCGAATGAGTGAAATAAAAGTTTTTGCAGAAATGCTCCATTAAAACAAACTGAAGCGGTTATATATCCCAAAATTTGCTAAGATGTGAATGTGGAGCGAGACTCCTCGGTCTCCGCTTCCCGATTCCTAGCGTTCCTAGACAAGCCCGATTGGTTTGCTTTGGACATCTTTATTAAAGACGACAAGATGTATAGGGAAAATACAATATTCAAGAAGGAGGGGAGCCGCAGTCACTAGGTAAGGGAGAGGGCGATCCAGTTACAAGGTTCGAATTTCCTGCTTGCCTCCTCCCTGAAAGGCACATTAAAACAACATAAGTATTACATGAACATGACCAAAATGACTGAGTAATATTCCTCATCATTACAAGAGTTCTAATTTTTGACAATGTACTACAAATTATATTCGCGATACCCACGTCCATTTATTGCGCCGAGGTAATTCATGCAACTGCTACTTTTGCCTGTGAATTGCAGATGGCACATATTCTAAAAGTGTACAAGGCATTACAAAAATGCCTTAATTACCATATAACTAAAGTTACGGAGATAACGTCGTGTCAGTAACTATCTCATGATTTGCTGCTGCTGGATAGAAACGCCTGGGTGAGAAGGAGGAGGAGTTAGCATGTGCACGGCGGGCGCAGGTGGAGGTGCGGACACGCATGGAGGCGCTGGAGCGGCGCCTAATAGTCGGTGGACAGAATCTCCTTGAGAAGGCGGAGGCTCAGGCACGGCTGCTGGAGCGCTCAGCGGAGGAGATGCGGGCTCAAGAGGAGAGGACTCAGGGCTTACGGAAGAAGCTGAAAGAGAAGAAAGAGGAGCGCTTTAACATTGAAGAGAAATACAACTCACTGCAGGTTTTGTTCTATTTAAAATTGTTTTCACCACCTATCACATGCTTTTGAGAATTCCTCGATTAAAGGTAATTAATGTGAGCCTTCGTACGCCGAATCCTACATTTGCCACAAATTTTATCCTATTGAGCTAATTGAGCTGATTACCTCTTCTAATCATTTCAATATAATTGATAAGGTGATCCTAACATAGTCCAACTATAAAATGCAAAAAATTTGCTGCATCCTTGAAGATTGGTGAGTCTGGATTTTTGTGTACCTTGTTTGTGCTATAAAATTAGGATTTTTCACAATTACATGCAACTCATTACAAAATTTGCTTTAAATTGTTTAAAATTATTGACAAGTAGATATCCCCTGTATTTACGGCTTCGAAGAATCCTACTACCCCTTAAAATTTGTTTACTGTTTTAATAGGAGGAGGCTACTGGAAAGCGCAGAAAACTCCAAAAACTTACAACACTTTACATGCAAGCAAAAGCCGAATTGGAAGACTTACGATCTGCAAATACGCGCGAGATGGATGATCTGTTGGAAAACATTCGTCAACTGAACCGAGAACTGCAGTTGCAAATCCTCATAATTAATCACTTCATTCCGAAGAACTTCCAGGTGCGTCACTTTTCCCCATCCTATGAACACATAGCACTTCGTAAAATCTTGCATGCGTTAACAACCCTAAATTCAATATAGCTGAATATTATTAGCTTAAGTGAGTGATCACAGTCTTATTAATCTTCCTAAAGGCTTTTTTCAACTCATCCACTTACTGAGTGCTCTTGCAGTTTTCCAACCAAATAAGTAAACAATATTTTCCTTCCATAACATATCTAACTGATGTTTTGCATGATGAAATTTGGTAATGAGCATTCGTTGTGAGTTTTTCGGAATCTGTTCTAATGAGATGTCAGCATCCTTTTGATTTAAGCAAATTTTTGGGTGACGGAGTATGTTCCCTAATTTGTGTCCCTTTGATATTTATGGGTTTTTGAGGCCCAAATAGTTTTGAAAACAAACCTCTTGATCGCATCTTTACCTTCGCTTTGTGCTGTGAACCGTCGAAATTGCAAATTCATTGATATGTACTACTGAGAATAAACCAAGTTGGAGGAAAGTAAAAATTGTGTAGAAGGCTTGCATGATGTTCTTCATTTTTTTCAACTTTGTTTGTATCAAATTTGATTTAAAAGATACTCTACTACATCAGAGCATCATTGAACGGAATGTTCAATGGAATGATGAGGTTGGTGAATGGCAGCTGCACTGCATCGCATATGCAGGGAATAATATGAACAGGTCGAAGGAAAATAAGGTGGATTCGGTAAGTTATTGTCCTTTGGATGCTGTCCTGGCAGATTGTAATTATGCATGCTGTTACATGACTTCTTTCATTAGAGCCATATTTTGAATAATTTCTGGCTACATACTTCGCATTGTAATACTTGTTTACTTATTACGTAGGCACATTATAGTCGATTTAGCAGGGCTATGAAATCTTGTGTGACTATTGTTTTAATGCGAATGACTATTCCTTTAACAGTTATTGCTTTATCCGTTGGAAATATTAATACATCAGTGTAAAACCCAAGATTTGTTTCCCAGCTTTTTTTGTCTTAAAATATTCTAAAATTCTTGAGAATCGTGTTAAAAAATATGTGCGACTGAACGATTATCTTTAAAATGTAGGAGAGGAGTAAACAGTATTCTGGAGATGGGGTCACATGTAAGAAGGAGTATCTTATTTCTAGCTATCTCATACACCCTTTTGTCTCGTTTAATCATTCCTCCTTAGTATCATTACACAAGCAAGTAGGGCGTTTAATTGGATTCACGTAACTAATTTCTGTCAAGAAAGAGATAAGTGAAATATGTGTTTAAATCCTTCCTAAGGTAGTGCTGCCTAGACATTATTTCCTCTTGGCTGTATATTGTAATAGGGGAGTTAGTGTGAGTTATCTATCCGATATTTTTTCTGTATCTGTGGGTGCTAGGCCTCGACTACTTTTTATCGCCTTTTAGGCAGGTGATGACAACTTCCTGAACGTTTACCTCAGCTACAATACTGCTGATGGAGAAAAAAGAAGAACTTTATCTAAAAGGAAAAAGAAACGGGGTACTATTAATCATATTTCGCGAACTCTTCTCTCTTAATGTACCAGTGGTTTAAAAAACCGAATGTTGCATGTGATGTTGTCTGTTGCTTCCCCTTGCTCATGATCATCAGTCCCCTGCCTCTGTCTTGTGCCACATGAAGGAACCTGACATTCCTCGTTTTGTCGCATCCTCTTAAGTGTGAGCAGATATAACACTGTTCCGCAGATTTATCTGTTCTGCATATTTGTCATAAAGTTTATGGGAGTCCTTGTCCTTTTCACACGTAGTTGATTATTATCAAATCTAGCCTTTTTCCATTTATTTTCCCCTTTTAATTAAAATAGAGTTTTTGTGCATCCCTATTGGAAATTTGATGTTTTGATCGCAAGCATAATGTATTAAAATGGCCAGCTAATAAATGGCAAAGCATTTTATTAATTTTTATCCAAGTAACTACCTACTAGTTCCTTTACACATTTGCATTGAATTTGATCTGAAACAAACTACTGTGCACTTGTGTATTATAGGCGGAATTAAAACTGCCATTTTGTCACAGTTAGTGAGATCTTTGCACAGTTCAGATTCGTCCTAATTATACGTCCCTGAGGATAATTTTATCGCTGATTCATAGCTTTGTTCTGTAGCAACAAGCCTCTCGCGTATTTTGCTGACGGATGCAGCACTCCCTACCGTCATCACTTCATAGTTACAGACTTGATGAAAATTTCTGCTGAAAACAGGCAACAACGCATTTGGTTAAAGCTGAAATAACAATTGCCACCTAAAATCATACGCTGACTCTCCCTACGGTCAACATATTTTTTTCATAGTGCAATTTCATGATTCCTACTACTGGTTTGCCATTCTATAACGTCATAAATCAAACTGAAGATATAGTGCTTAAATGGGGGTTTCCGAAAGAATTGGTTGACACATTCATTGAAGAATGTGAATGCAGCCGAATAAACCGAAACAACTACTTTTATCACCCAATCCTTCCTAAATTCAAGTGTTAGCTTTGAAAATGAAATGTCGGTCCTACATTGCACTATTTGCCCTCAGAAAGTCATTGCTATGATGATTTGCGATAAATGGCACGATGACTTGTCTCTTTCCCAACTCTTATTCTTTCTTATTACTGTCATGGTCCAGTAATCGTGCTGATTCCGACCCGGTTATGGTCACGCGGAGGTTTGCTATTACCCCTTCGCCTCCAGCACTTCGAGTGCTTTTAGGCCAAGAAGAGAACAATTAGCACTATGAAATTCACTTTTGCTGCTTAGCTCATAAAGACTCAAAGGCAACTAAGAGTAAAAAAATACATCGGAGGCTTCATACCTTGAATTTGGAATCTACCAGTTCACTGCTACTTCGTTGACTAACTGCAAATTCTAATTTTTGAGATCGAATAATTGTTGAAGTAAGTCCATCAGAGCAAAAGCCCTTTCGAATCCCAGATCCCAACTTTTATTCTACTCAAATTTTCCCAAACACTGCCTCGGTGTGAAGGTTGCTGTCAAAGTCAAACCAACGATTTTTGCACCAGTAGCTCAAAAAGGTAAGAACGCCAACGAAGTAAGGGTGTAATGTTGTAGCTAAGCCTAATGCAACGCCTCGTGACTACCAGACAGGATATCTAAATAAACAAAAGGCTGTAAACTCAAATTATATGCCTCAAAGCAGTCCTATCGGACTTGTCAATTTTGAATCCTCAGGTGTTAAAGGTGGCGAATCAGGGTATATGTGATCTATTTGCTAAAACCCAAAACTAACTTTAATTGTCTCGCGATTTCCGCTGGTTGCTGCCACACTGGTCAATAATAGGAGTAGATCCTCTTTCATTACTGACGCAGGCAGTAATGAATTCTACATTCTCCTCAATTTTCTTAAAAACACCTTAAATCGGCTATAGATATAAGACCTTTTGATGGTTTTGTTGAGGTATCACAAACTCTCTTTGGCATTTTGGAGCTCCTGCTAACTCCTTGACGGCTCTTATCTCAAATTTAGGTAGTTTCGGGTTTAATAGTTGATTATTTCTTAATTTTTGACTTGAAGTGTATGCTACAATTTCCTAAAACCCAATCTCTCAATTTCCCGTTTATTCTCAATCAAAACTTAACAGTTTAGTGAATTTCTGCTCCATGATTAAGCTAATTCGGCTTGAGCTAAAGGGCCACTCAGTATCTACAATAGCAGTTATTTCGCTTGGCATGAGTGATCTTGTTAGGAGAGTATTAAGTCAACTACTGGTAAAAGTTTCACGTGCAAATGTCCAGTTATTAGCCTTAGTAACTCCCAGACAGGATAGTAAGCCCCTCCTCAGCAAGTTTCCGCTACAGCAAAATTGGGCCATGTTTGAACCTGGAGATATTCTGTACTAGTTTTAGAGCTCGTTTTTCCTCTCTGGGCTTGGAGATGCATGCCTTCAGGTTTTGCTTAATGGTAGTTCGAGAGACTTATTTAAAACTCGTAGTCCGTTTTGGCTCTTTGGTCACGCTTTCCTTCAACTCGGCCTAAATATTCAATAGGTTATCTTTTCGGATGTAGTGAATTTAACCACTACCAACTTAGAAGCAACCGCCATTTACCAAAATGGTATTTTTACTGATGCCTCTACTTTACATATTTGTAACTGAAGACTGTGTGAATTATTTGGGAAGTTGTTGTTACAGCATTACACTCAACACAGAAGTGTATTTTGGTTTCTTGAGTTTTTTTTGTACTCTAAATTATTGGTAGATATAAACAGCTATGATTCCAATACTGGTCGTTTTCCCCATTGTTGAATGCTTAAATGTCAACCGATTCCCAATAAATTTTGCTCCCTAGCAGCTTCTCTTTAAAGCTTTTTCCGTTCTATTCTTAACTTTTCAGAACTAATAAAACCCTCATTTGATCTTCAGTTGCCTGGTAGCTCTACATACTCTAACGTACGTTGGGAATCGCCTTGAATTTCCTCACTTCCGATGCCGGTTTTGTGTTTCTTTTCTCTTAAGTTACCATCAATCTGCTTCATAAATACTCCAACAACTGGCATTAACAGAATCTTAGAGCAAAATGGCCACCCTCTTTAGCAAATTTATCGGCGTTTCAACTCAGGCAAGGGATGCTAAGGGCAGCACTAATTATGCCCTCCTCTGTTAAGAGACCTCGCAAATGTTCGTTACGCACAAATTTTACCGCTATCAACGACTAAGTAACCACGGAAATTCATCTGTAGTCATTGCAAGTCGTTAGCGAAATCCCTTTGTCGCAGCGTCCGACTATGGTGTGTTGTACTAGCTGCTTACTCATACAATTCCCAAAACCGTAATGAAAAGCTCATTCTACCTGTTAGCCTTTGGGAACATGTATCCCCCGATTGTCTCCTTGCGCACTTATTGTTGTTTAACTCTTGACAGACGGGAAGCAATACCGCGTTATTGCCCCAAAAAGAGTGGACATTAGACATAAAAGAAGGAACTACAGAAGTCCATAAATGTTGTAGGAGCTTTTGGTTACACTTGATGGATTACTGTCTTGGATATCAAATTATTACCCCGCGTACACTGAGACTATTAATCTTGAAAGATTTATGTTACAGTGTTAAGAAGATTAAGTCCTTAGCCCGCCCTATTTGCGTTTACATACAGTTCATTTGGAACCACTCGTTAGACTCCTTTTTTGATGACTACATGCTGACTACTGCTATCATTTAGTGGGAAATCCATGCGTTAGTTATTCCAGGTTTGTGCTCAAAGCGTTTGGAGGTATATTCTGCTACTTTGCCCACCGCGGATTTTGCTCTTAAAGCATTTTACAAAAATTTCAGCGGAGAAGGAGTACTGTGCGCATTGCTAGTTTTTGATGGGCCGCATGCCGGTTGTCGCCATTTATAACTACCCCCATGCATCGGAATTGCACTAGTGCTGCAAGAGACCCATCAAATCTGTCAAGCTGTACATTTTCATGGGACTGGAACATAGTGTGGACAACTTCCCGAAGCAGTGTTGCACTGGTCCACTTCAAATGATAAAAAAGCCTTGTATAGCTGTTTAGTAGTCATGATCTTGGGACAAAAATGTTCTTTTAGACTCAGCAGAGGTCTCATACTATCGAAAGAATAAGCTCACACCATTAGGCAAAACTGTTCTAAAGACTGCGAGCACTTGTACTTGTCTACTTTAAGACTTAGATGCAGATTATATCCACAAAAGACATACTGGTCAGATTGTGTATAATTAATTCACTTCTGATACTCTCGACTTAAAGAAAATTTTTGGTATTTCCAGGTGTTTTAAATTCCACACCTACCACGAAAGACAGAACTCCGAATGAACCACAGCGAAGCAGTAACAAAAGTTATATCCTGCCTTGTTTCAATTTTACTGTAATTTTTACCATAACATTCAATTGAAAAGCACTCGCTTTTGACAACAAATAAATATTATGCATCATGGGGGATGGAAAATACGCAAAGGATAATAAGTTCTTCAAGAATTAATCAGAGTTTACACGCGAAATTAGTGTTTGGAATTTAAAAAACTGTTTGTACTTGGCGACTTCTTTTTTCGTCATTCCCATAGAATGTATTGACTACAAGAATATGAACATATCGAAAATCAGGTGATTCGCTCCTTAAAATTGAAGTTTAAACTAAACTGTTGCACTCTCAAAGAGTTTCTCCTACCATTTGCAGTAATACGATTTTTTACCACAAAAAATTAAATAGAATTGGCTGCTTATATCTGGTATACCATTTTTCGTATCGTTTGTGAATACTCAAATCAGGAATGCTTCTTTCGTGACAATTTAAACTTGAAATAAAGGGACTGTGTACAAATTGCAAGGAATTTCTTTTTTCTATGTTTATTTCCTCGATAGGTCTTGGAGATTAGCCATTTATCAGCATGGCCAGAAGGCTATGCGGTGGTGGGAAGCACAGGCTGTGTAGACTGAAGGGTCAGGATAGTCGAACGTACAGATAAAATTAAACTGTCAGGGAATTTACTCTGATTCCATTTTAAATTAATTTCAGTGCTTATTCTTCAAAGTTTTAGTCGATACCTTACTTAGTTTCCTGAAATAATACCTGTTTAGTTTTGTGAGATTAATTTGGAACTTAAAGCAGATTAAAAATTTCGTGCAAACTTACTTCATGACCATTATTAAATTTACTTTTCAGCTAAAACTCCCGGGTCGATTGCACCACTTCTCGAGGTTTTATTGGCTTACTGCCGCTTTCGGTGACAGGCTGCTACCCAAATTATACTCTTGCAAAACGCTGAGCAACAAGCTTTACTTAAAATATATTCCATTTCAGTAATTTTAGAACGTTTTAACTCCAAAGACTACCTTACCACTTGATCTTGACATTTAAATGTGAAGCGGAGTTAAGCTGGTTTTACAAAATATGTTCACTAGTAAAAACGACATAATTTCGCACGTCGCGGCAGGTTCGGAGAATGAAAAGAAATAGGCGCCATTTCAGTGTGAAGCAATTTTAATAAAACGTTTTGCTGTTAATAGCTTGGTAAGTTTGCGCATACAACAGGCATTCCGAAAAAAATTTTTTTGCTACAGTTGACTAGTTTATACCACACTGATTGTCGCTTACTCTCCAAGAGCCATCGAGGGAATGGACATACAGAAAAGAAATTCCTTGCGATTTGTACGGAGTTCCTTTATTTGAAGCTTAAATTGCAATGGAAGAACCATTCTTTGTTCACAAGCGGTACGAAAAGTGGAATGCCAGATATAAACAGACAATTTTATTTAATTTTTTGTGCTATAAATTCGTATTACCACAAATAGTAGGAGGAACCCTTTGAGAATGCCACGGTTTCGTTTTCTTTCCGATTTATAATTCGGTTCATTTGTATACCGACCGGCCTTTGTGAACCAGGAAAACGTTTAATATGCGGCAGGTGTGGTTATCAATATCGTTGTTTTAATGTGTCAGCTGTATTAGTAATCGCCTAAAATCTGGGTGACCGCAGAGGAAAGGTATTTTATCGGACTTTAAAACAATCCGCGATTTTAATCCCTGATCTAGGTAGATGGTAGAATGAACTACTCTTTTCTGAGTCGTTTTCATAAAAGTCTATTTGGTAGGATTTTTCTGCGTCCTCAATGATGCGCTTTTGGGCCAAGTCGATAGGCTAGATTAATTTATCCAATGATTTGTTCGCCCTTTAAAAATGTTTTGATTTAAAAATCGTAATCTAGGGCTCATGCGGCGTAAATTAATGCTATTCATCCATACGCAGACGAAATGTTTTTATTGTTTCTCTGCTTTTTACCCTGAGAAAAAAGCTGTGTCTGACTGCAATCAGTCGTCTAACTTTTGTGAGTACTTTTGCGATGCTCCCAAATATGACGCCAGGCTTGTCTTTCTAAAATTGTTGATTAGATAGCCAGGAGTAGAACGAGCATAAATACATTCGAATTGAGCTCATTAATGATGAGTCGCAATTGAACACGATCTATTACAAATGTTTACAGATACAATGCGATTTGCAAAATATTAGGCGACTACACGCTGCTTTATCTTTGAGCTCAACTTTTGGAGGAAATTTTGTGGAGTAATATAATATCTTTTAATTTTGGTACCAGAAGTACTTTTATGGTAATTTAAAATTCCACATTAGATATTTACCTATGATTTAGTTCTTTTCATGTCACTTACGTCAAAGACAATTCTACATAAATTCAATTCAATTCAAGACTTATAACCTTCAAGGCTAATTTTAGCCTACCTCGAGCGTGTGAAATGACTGTTGGCTGTAGTAGTAGTTACTTTTTAAAAATTCATTGCTCTATTTCTTGTAAATGAAGTAAACAATTTGCTGTATAAAACAGAATCATGAATATCTGTGACGTAATGATGAGTTTGCAAAGCTGTTTCACTTATTATTGAAGGCATTCTAATATCTCATATAATAACGAGGTGCCATATGGGGTGAAGCAATGACCATGAATAACAATATTCCTTCGTGTGATTAATGGCAGGAAGTTAGGTGGGACCTTTGATTAGTCTTTTTACGCTTTTTTACCAAGTGATAAGGATATTAATTCCACTAGCTGGATCCAGTTGCTCTCAGTAACTTTGGTCAGCGCTTTATTTATTTATGAGGTGGCCATTTTCCTTTGACTTAGAAATTCATAAAAAATTAGTAAAAGCATCTTTATACAATTTTACTCAAATTACGCTATGTAACGAAATCAACTTTGCAAACTGGGTGATAAAAATTTTGGGTCGTGTAATGTGAGTTTTGATTTGTCCGTTTAAAGGTGATAGAAGAAGGAAGGACAACATTTGAAGGCACCAATGAGGCTTCCGACAGGTAAAAAACCTTCTTATCTGGTTCTCCTAAAAACCACTATAGAACCAAAAAATGGTAAAGATAGATGTTTCATTTGCCACCACAGCAGAATGTATGCCGTGTTCCTGTCCAGTATGGAGGAAGTTTGCGTTTATTTTGCACATTCATAGCATAGTACGACCTCGTTCAAAAATATGGTAGCGCCTCAATTCGAAAAGGAGTTTAACAAAATCGCGTCTAATCAGCGCTAGTGATCATATTATCTACATTCATTCTATCTACTGCTACTCAACTTGGTCCCTAAATTACCTATATAGGCAAGAAATGATGATTTAAAACCTGCCTTTTAGGAAAAGTTGTTGGTCAAAGTGAATCCACTTTTTGAACATGATGGACCAAGTTTTAGCCAATATGCTTAAATGTAAATCATTTCAGGGGAAGTTTTATTTCTGTTTTAGTAGGTGGAATTTTATCGCTTCTGCAGTTACCTAGAAAAGGCATTCAACCGTTTTTATAATTCAGTTGTATTAAAATAATTCAATTTAACGTGTCTACGCAATTTTAATCTTTCCCAAAATCACTACCTATAAAACACTTACGATTTAGCTATATTACGAGTTTCCATGAAATTTTTCACGTTACAGATGTCACACTTCTTTAACCAGTGTCTACATATCCACACTTATTTCTTAGTTGACCTTCCTTTGGAGTCGTAGCCGATCAAATCGCTAAATATTTCAATAAGTCGTTAGTATTTCTAACCTAGGAAAATTCATATGCGGCAAAAACTGAAATTTTTAAATTGATTCAGCCTGAACGTGTATCGCGGTGGACACTGACCACGAACATCTCTGTGATTGGGATTGTCCTGCCACTGTTAAGGTGATTTGATGGAATTACGGAAATGTATAGACTAACATTGAATTAATCTACCGTTCATTATGGTGTGCCGCTTAGGTATAGACCTTTGTAACAAGCGCATGTGAATGCTTAAGTGATTGCACGGCTCTGTAAGTACCTGAAGGAAATTGGGCACTTGTCTTCTTAATGACCTGCTAGGGGATACATATCTCATCGAGACTGTTAATCTGTATCAAGCCATTTTTCATGAAAGTCAGTGATGCTTAATTGGATTTAATTGTCATGGAAAAATGGCTTAGGTCGAGACATGGTGAAGCCTGTTAAGGTTGTAGTACAGTCGGTCAATCAGTGGGAAGCAGTTGCCACTGCCATTCATCCCGAGGACACAGTGGCAAATCACATGTAACACTGATATTTTTTTAGCAGCTGCACAATACCTCTTTACCAAATGGCGCAAAATATAGGCCCTCATTCTAATGTATTGTCAAGTAGTTGAAAATAACCCGGAGAACTGACCAATTTCATACGCCTCGTATATGGTCTGAGTATGTGCACACTTTGTGCCTGATATCAAGGGATTCATGACTAAATGGATTAATGACTTTGGTGCTACATAGAAAAATAATCAGATTGAAAGCTAATGCCACCGGAAATTGTTTTCATTCGACCAATTCAGAGAGGCTTTTATGTTCATGTATAATTAACTGCTAGATAAGATATGCTCCGTTATGGTGATTAGTTGCTTTTCAATATTCCAGTGGCTGTATTCTGGGCTCCATAGACACCAGCTAACTTATGAGATATTCATGGAGGCAACATCAAATAAGGGAGGATAGAGGTCACTTAAAGGGTTATTTTGGGGAAGTTTTATATAAAAACAAACTAATTTTGGTCAATTTTGGCAGTATGCCTATGAAAACCACTTTTAACAGACATGACATTTGACCTTCCCAAACGCCTGACACTTTGTTTAAACCTTAATTGTCTACGGTTTGTTTTCGATGATCCCAAGTGCAATGCTTCCTATTTACATATGATAGTTTTCATAATCTCCAGTATGGCGACTTCGTGGCTGTTCTGACTTAAATGGAACATTTGTGTACTTTTTTAGACAATCGAGGGAAACAACGTTTTTAGACTTTTAACCTTTGTTTAGCTTTTTGTTGTTTAATTGCTCTTAACGCTAGTAAAGCCCAAACAATTGGGTTATTCTAAATCAACCATGGATAATAAATGGCAGTGTGGGTACAACCTTATTAAGGTCATCGGTACTGGATTAGCAGAAATTATCTTATCACTTAATTTAAGTTCTCACGCAGTATTTGAGAGCATAGGTCATCAGGCTATTGTGTCATTTGGACAATACGAGTTCTCGTGGAATTCCACAGACAAAATTTATTTTAGAGAGAAGTTTGCTTGCGTATTCTGAAACTGCTTCTTTAAATAAGAATGTTTTTGCTACGTATCCCAGACGGATGCATCTCGCCTTACTGCAAGGAAAACCCAGAAGTTACAACTGGCATCAATATTAGTGCACCAACTAGAGCGTGATTTCATCTGGCTGCCAACAGAAGAAAAGTTTTTCACCTAACCATTGTCCGCGATTTCCCTATTTGTGTAACGTAAATGAAATCCATCCTATGGTATAGTCTGCAAATTCGGTTCACTTTAGGTGTGAGTGAATACTCTAAAAGGTGTCCATGAGTCAGGTAAGTTATTGCATTGAATCTACTCACGGTAAAAATGTACTATATCATGAAGAGCGTGATACTGTGTCTTCCAGCTTTGATTGTATATTTATTATTTTATAAGGAGGATCCAGTTTAAATGAAGTACTGCACAAGTGATAAGTCGGTCATTTTAAGCACTCTTGAGTAATTCTTATTATGATGCTGCAGAATATTTGCAAATATCAAGTTATACCCTGAACATATATTGTAATTTTAAATGAAAACTTGCCGTTATTGGGGCGCGATGCTTCTCTGATTTTTACCAACCGTCCATAGGTACAGCTGACCATCCTCGCTATTCCTCGCATTGCCTTTTCATGTTGTTTCCTGGCAGCGCCAATGAACGTAGTATTCTCTTCCACTTTTGATGTCTCGATTTATACCAGAAATAGAAATTTTTCATTTCCCAATAAAACTCCACCTATTGCACAATTATAGGTAAAATATAACACTGTGATCCGTAAAAATAAAGTTTGTTTTAAAAGTGGGATAAGATTACTCGCTTAAAATAGCAAAGATTGTGTTCAAGATAGTTAAACAATTATGCGTAGACCACTAAGCACCACCTTTTTATCATTCCAAATCATTTATTTAAAAAGCGAGTCATTGCGTTGTTATTTGCTTATTGACGTCAAAATAATGCAAGAAATGTTACTTTGTTAAATCTAATAACATCATTTACCACTTTAAAGTTACTTGTCCTTAACTTCATGTCGTGTTGCAATCCCATACACCCTATTAAATTGGATGGACATGACAAAATGAGGACGTTGGCGTGTGAATGCTGGGATTTTATTTATGTCTCGTTTTACAAAAATACTCAATGCCCATACGTCTACCTTTGTAACTGCTGTTGTCAGCATGATTATGCGATGTGCACTGTCCTCTTATTGGGAAGATACCGAGTTTTCCATGAAAGTGGGGTCGTATATAATCAAAGATTCTTATTAACAGGCTATCCAACGTGGAGATGATGACATTGTAAGTCGAGGTATCATCAGTGGTCGTTCTCTTGATGAGATTTTAATGGTGGAAGTAAGACAGTGTTCGACACAACCACAGCTTGTGGTGATGGAGGCAATGATGTTGGGTTAAAATTACGACGCTTCTTCATCTCGGTCGCTTGATCAAGTGATTCTCGAGATCCAATGCCCGCTTGTTGAAGAGGTTGAGTTATGAAATTTAGTAGACCTGGTCTCATTAATGTCCCCTTCTTCCTGTGTCTACTTACTTTTTTATCTCTTTCTTCAGTATTTCTGTCAGGCTCGGCAATCAAACGTGATGTGGGCATCTCATCAGCATTACTTAGCAGTGGAATCCCAGCAGAGTTGCCTTGAGAGACACGAGTTGGCTGTGATTCTTCCCGACTTACTGTGGGTTGTCCTCGTCCATCTGATCTGGAGGATCTGTATCCACTTCCATCACGACTGTGTTTTTTCTTGGGGCTAAGGAGGCTATCCCCAGAATTCGAACTGCATAGGCTGGGAGTCTTGCAAAGTGGGCACGACGAAACTGTGGTAAAACTGGGTTTCTCCTCTGTTTCTGTTTCTCGATGATAAAAGTAATTAAAGTTTGACACAATAACAGGAACAGGGAGGGCGATAGTTAGAACACCAGCGATAGCGCACAATGAACCTACTAACTTTCCTCCAACTGTCACTGGCCGCATATCGCCATAACCGACCGTTGTCATGGTAACCACAGCCCACCAAAATGCATCGGGTATGGATCGAAAAAAGGTCTTCTCTGCGTCCACCTCAGCAAAGTATACGGCCGAGGAAAAGAGGATGACAGAGATTAGAAGGAAAAACACAAGGAGCCCCAACTCTCGGACACTGGCTTTGAGAGTTTGACCAAGTATTTGTAGCCCCTTTGAATGACGTGATAGCTTGAATATCCGAAAAACACGAACCAGTCGAATAATACGAAGAATCGCTAGAGACATTGCCTGATTTTGGCGCTTGGAATCATCGGCTATGACAGTCCCAAGAGTAATGAAGTAAGGAATGATTGCAACGATATCGATGAAATTCATAATGTTTTTGAAGAAGGCAACCTTTTGAGGACAGGAGGCGAATCTAATCATCAATTCAAAAGTAAACCAGATTATGCATACTGTCTCGATTATGAAAAAGGGCTCAGCGAGATGAGGTATGTCGTCTTCTACAATTATCACATTGTAAAATAAATCGTTCCATTGTGTTTGTGTGCTCGCTGAGGTATCACGAACTGTTCGTAGAAAGCTGGATCCTGAATCAAACACGGTAGCTCCGGTGGAAACATAGTTATTGCCATCTTCTGCGGCATTCGAAATGGATGAAAGTTTGGAAGTCCTATTTGCGATTCGATAGTGCTTGAAGTGAGGCAAGGTTTCAATGCAAAAGATGACAATTGATAGGATAATTACAAATATGGAACAAATAGCAATACACCGTGCAGCTAAAGAACTTTCAGGATATTCAAAGAGAAGCCATATTTTGCGTTGAAATTCGTTCTCGGGTAGCAACTTTACCCCCTCCTTGAGGAAGCCCTCATCAATACGATACTTCTCTACAGCCTCATCATCAAGTTCGTAAAAACTTATCTCTTCGGTAAAAACGTCAATTGGGACATTAACGGGTCGTCGAAGCCGGCCCCCAGACTGGTAATAGTAGAGGATGGCGTCAAAACTTGGTCTATTTCGATCGAAAAAGTACTCGTTTCTCAGCGGATCATAATATCGGTTGCGTTTCCGCGGATTACCAAGCAGAGTGTTTGGGAAGCGGTTTAGCGTCTTCAACTGTGTTTCAAATTTCAAGCCAGAGACATTTAAGACGACACGCTCTTCGTCAGCCTGTCGACGCTCACAAAAGGACATATCATATTGCTCCTTGGGTTGTAGTTCATCACTCACCTCTGAAAACTGAGCACCTTCAATATCCCAGTCCACGCTGTGCATAACCGAGGCCTTTGTTAGAATCTTTGTTCTCATTTGTGCGTTAGTTTCCATGGTACCATCGGACTGACTCTCTTTAGAATCGGACAGGTTTCGGGAGAATGAGCTAGATCGGAGAAGGGGGTTTCTCTGGCTAAATCCAAACTGTCCGCTTGTGAGTGCTGCAACGGTGGAGCCAACCGCAGAGATGCGAGTGTCGCAAGTCGTGGCAGGAGGAGCGCCAACAGAAGCACTGCTGGAAGATTCGGTTGGTCTCAAGTTAGAGGATGAGGCGGTTGTGGTAGTCGGTGCACCAAAGGTCACATGGGAACCTGCTGAGGTGGTTGCGTTAGCATGGTAACCTCCACTGGGTAAGCCAGTTCCACCAATCCCTGATGCACCCGGTAGATTACTATACGCTCGCACGCTGTATTGCCTGGATGGGAAATATGTATGACTTCATAATATAGCAAATTCAAATAGTAATACAGGAAACCAGTCGTTCAAATAGTGCTGACTTTCTGAGCAAACTCATATTTGTAAGACTTATTTGCCCAAACAGTAAAGTGCCACCAACTTCTGCTTTACAGTGAGTTCTCCAGTAAAAACTGTATATACCATTTTGCATAGGGATTCCATTTTTAATAATAAAAAATCATATCAGTTATACATAATTTTCGGATCTAAGTGCTCAGAATACCCGCAAATGTCACCTCCTTTAACACCGCCGACAGATCGCTTATAATTGTCCCTCGTAACTTTACAACAAAGAGGGGGAATAAGTGAATTTAATTGTCGTTTTAGCTAAACCCAGCAGTACTTAAGAGCATATTAAAATGCAACAAACTTTATACTACTCTTGGCTGTACATTTTTAAATGATTATCCGCTTAGATGTGATGAATTCCATACACAAGAAAATTTGGTGTTAGTGTATGCAAGCCACGACTAGGTCATTTTGTGGCTCCGATTTTGCGGATAATATCTATTTCAATTTCCAAAGTAAGAAATTGATCAAAAAAGGAATTGAATTGAGAACGAGTGGATGCATGCAGAAACAGTGAAGCACATATTACAAACCGATGAATCCTAATTTTTATTCCAAAACTGAAGGGAATACATAATCTTTCGTGAGCAAAATAGGTATATTAGCGGAAGTTTAAGTTAACCTAGAATGTTATACCCCTTATCATACTAACTATGAAATCCTTGGGCCTTTCGGTCTTCGTAACACTAGAAGAGTGAAATATGTCTGTTGAATATCCTAATACCCTAAGTCTGTTTTAATTTTGCAGGAGTTGTCCTTTGCACACTTTCCTTATGTGTACATCTAGAAGTAGTGGCTGTGAGTCTGGAGCCCGGGACGTGCATCAGGATAATGTTAAGCAATGGCAGTGGATCACTAAGGAAATAAGCATAATTGACATCCATTTCGCGAACGAATGTCCTACCAAATCAAGGAAATGTGTAATGTTTTGGAAGTTCATGGGAATTCATTTTGTAAGCTGGCTCACTATTCATGCTCACGATCAAAACTTTTTTTATATAAATATTACCAAAACAGCGACCTTGAATAATAATATTGAAAGCATTTCCTGCCTAAAAATCAAAGGTTTGGGAAGCAACAGCATTTCATTTAAAAGAAACCATCATTGCATAAATCGATAACTAAAGAATTCCTGCTTTCTCTAATTTATACGGTTAAAGAAAAGTGGAATTTGCACATGCTTTCTTAGGTCAATTTCTACAAAAAATACAGTTCCTCAAAGTCATTTACTTATTATTTCGCATTACACACGATTATTAATTTGCATATGTCTAGCGTCGTATGAAATGGAATAGGAAACATTCAAGGTATAAATAACATAAATACGTCAATTAATCGTTAGTAATTAATTTAATAAACGAAAATGACCAAACTTCCCACTTCTCCAATATACATTTGCTCGGATTTACATTTGTTCTACTTTTTTAACAGAGACGTATTTGAAAATGCTCAGTGTTTGCTTGTCTCCAGCTTGCAACTTTACTGTTTTCCTAACCTCCAACTTTATCGTTCTGTAATGTCCTGTTGTCGAAGTGTGTTTCATTTTCATATTCATAAATTCAAGATAATCACTAAATTTCACATTATTTTTGAGAAAACGCTCCCTAAGTATACCATTTAATGGTCTTGTTTTGGCTTATATATCCTATTAACTATTCTATTTGCCTCCATTTCTTTCATGCTATCGAGAAATTCGTCGGCGATTTAAATGTTGGCATTTTTTCAGTGGTAAAATCTATTTTGGTACATTTATCCATTTTGATGCACTTTCAAGAGAACCCACTGTATGCTCTGAAAGCTTTTATTAAATTAGTTAAGTCCAAAGATTTCTTGGCCAAAAATATCCCCTACCGCACTTATGTACTTTGCACTTCTACATATTAACTAGCAAATTTCAAGAATGCATGCAACATTTCCTCATTCGATGAGCACTTTAAGGCATTTCCATAGCATCTGGCTAAAGAATTGGGATTTTTTTATTGAATCTACCTAATTTGAATTTCATTTGCGACAACGATTCGAATATTTAACATTCCAATACAACTCTAACGGACTGATCGTGGTAGTTTTAAGCGCAATGATGTGATGGGAAAATTGCCCACTCATCGTCGGCCGAGAGGCTTTGTTCGTCGCGTGCTACGGAGACATTACCGAGATGTTTGCGTAGTAAAACAGCAACTATCATTTCAAAGCCCATCGAAAACCATCTAATTTGTGGCAGAGTATCACATAGAGAAAACATAAATTTAGAATTGATTTTATTTTGCCTTATTTTTATCAGCGATTTGTCCACAAGCCCCTGCCAAAACACCTTGAGGTGTATTTAAAGTTTTCAAAGCGATTTAATTGTCCACTATAATAAAAAATCCATTCTTCAGAAATCTAGTCCCAATAAAGTACCTCATGACGATATCTTGAGTCTTTTTATGAGGTTTTATAGACAATCCCCCCCCAATTACCGTTTTTTTTGGTGTCAAAAAAAACACCATGATATCTGTTGCATCATCTCCTTGTGTAGATAGTGGCACTTTGGCGTCATGACTACTGAAGCCTAACGCACTTGGTTGACCTTCCCTCACATACTGCCATGTTCTTCTTCCCATAGTGTTTGTAAAGGAACAACATTGACTTTAGTCGTAATAGCTCGAGTTACGCCTTTCTTCTACCAATGCTAAAAATGCAAAGTTATTTAATCTCATCTTATTCCTTGTCAAACTCTTTATTTGACTGGGGGATATATCTACCTAAATATTAACAATTCGCTTGCTTACCAGGCGCATTCCAAATGAAAATAACGTGTTTAAATTTGGATGAATTTACACATTATTTTAATTTTTATGAACACCGAATATAAAAAGTAGCTAGCCGGTTGTACTGATCTAATAATCAGAAATTTTCTTCTCATTTTCAGGCTTTCGAAAGTTACGGTCAGACTTAACTATGGTAGCTTAAAAACATCTTAATTAACTCTGATTAATTTATGGATAAAATAAAGCCATGGATAAAATGCGTACAGTAAAGACATTGAAGTCACTTTCTGCACTCGCACTCCACCAACGTGCCATGCACTTGAAATGAAATCCACTCCCGAGTTCAAATTAAGGCGTCCTACTTTATTTATCCCAGTGAATTGGGCGTCAAACTAAGACTACTTTCCATTCAATTTACGGTATAGCGGGGTGAGTGTGCGCAATGGGATACCGTGTGCGACTACAAATGCAGTTGGACTTTACACATAATCACATTTGATGTCCTTTTGAGATGGTTGCCTTTTTGTTAGTACTAAGGTAAAACAAATTTAAGTGCCTCTTAAGCAGGATCCTCTATAAGGTCTAACATTTGCAAAGATTATAGTGGGATTAGATTCCTATTTTATAACAAGACATCTTTCTTCCGTTGCTGGTTTCACTGAAAGTATAAATGAGGGAAACCTTGGTTCTTTTTGCCAATTTGTGGTTCTGAATAAAAGCATTCATTTTATTACCTAATTAAAACAAATTCCCGTCAGTATTCAGTGAAACTCTTACTGCTATGCCATTACAGCTTGCGATGCGTATCAAACAGAAGGACTGTCCAAACCTTCTGCATGAACTTGATCTTGTGGTAAATAAAGTCCAGTTCCAGCTTTCTGTGTGACTTTAGCGGCATTTTATAAGTGTTATTTTTTTCTAGTCCTGCCGGTGGAATTTATACACTATATGCGTATGAAGCACTATCTGCACTAGTAACAAGAAGAAAGTACAGGTAGTTTTTACACAGGAACAAAAAACAGCATAAAAATTAAGTGCATAAAACATAATGAGTGCTCTTTAGCCTATATACATTTTCAAGTAAATTGGAAATTTTCATAAATACGGTTGACACAGTTTGATTGCAAAAAATAGTTGATTACCGCAAGGTAGAAAATTGGGGAAAAATTTTGTCTTCAGAAAATGCCAACTACTGTCTCGTGGACCAGAAGTAGAAGATTGCGTGAATGACAAGGAAAGGCCTTGTATACCACGTAGATTTGCGTTCGCTTGCTTCATCAGCTTCTACTATTATTCTCCCGTTTTTCCCCAAAAAAGCATAAAAGAAAACGGACAGTTTCTCCTGGATATTTCTCACTATTCCCATGTGAGTACAAGTAAGAGATCTGTACTGGGATCAGAATGCGTCTGGTGTGAGTCAATCACCGCGCCCGTTTTAATACAGTCGCCTAGACAAGTGGGCCATAAATAATTTTCGTAGCACTTAGATATGGGGGGGTTAAAATGTATGTAAATTCTGTTTTGCATAAAAACTAGGCTACCAAATGCTTTAAAAGCATGTGTATACTGGCTTTAGTGATTCATTTCGGATACAAATTACCATTTTGGCGTTACAATTATATGGTAGTCGCTCACAGACTCAGTCTAGCTGCATAGAATCTCATAAAAATATTTATGTTGAAATGCTTGAAAAGGAAAATAAGGCTTGACAAAACAATTCGACATCACCGTCTTATGGCCCCAATTCCCTCACAAAACATATTTAAACCGAGCTACTAATTATTTCATCCAAGTAGATTAAATGCAAAACTATTTAGTGTGCTTAAATTTTTGCATTAATCGGAAACTCATGTATTTGAAGCATAATGAGAAAAGGGAACGATTTACAAACTTGTGCTGAAACTTTAAAACTGCCAAGCATTGTAGTATATTTCCGAGAATAAAAATTGCTACGAGGCATTTTAAAGCTTATGTAATTCATTTTATGGTAAAAGCTAGGCTGAAATACTTTTAAAAGTGCATTACCACGAGTAAATAGCAGTTTAGTGGCATAGGTCTTTGCGATAACTAGTGATGCGTGGACTGTAATTGTCCTAGGAAAGCAGATGTTAAAGTCCGCTATTTCATGGGTCGCAAAGAAGTGCATGAATCCTACATAGCTCACCGATCATATTGGGCATAGTTATGTTCATTCGAAGAGCTTGGCTTTGTTCCACTGGCCCAGTGAATGGTATTCATTCTGATGCTATCATACTTCGTCCTCTATAGACAAGTTGGTATCCATTTCATCACCAGTTAAAGGAGTCCGTGAATTAATTTTTTTTCCAAAATAAAGTCCAACACCGATGCCAATCACAAAGAAGTGCAGAATCTTGCAGAAGAGCGAATGTGACTACGACATGGAGTGCAATGTGTCACCTCGTCTCCCTGCGTTTTGTCTGCCCGATCGTACGCGCGCTCACACGCACCAATGCAGGGCGCGCAATCGTGCGAGTCTGTCCCCTGATTGGCCGGCGCTCGTGCTAGTGTATTTTAACCCATTTGACTACTGCTTTCCGAGCTATGCGCGCCAGTGGGCTTTCGTGGGCCTTGGTGCACACGCCCGCCAGGATGGGCGAATCCACTGCGTTAATGCAGCAGCAGTAGGATTACATTTGCATATTGCAGGAGCAATTGGGCATGGGGTAGCCGTGGAGCCGTCCCAGGCTTATTATCAACTAGAAAATGCCCCGGGGGACATAATTACGTCTTCGCTGCGTCATCTGAAATCAATAGGTCGCAAGAGCCTCTGCTTTGGAACGCGAAGGGAATAGTACTTGTTGGACTTGAGCAATTGGCTGATTGGTCGATCGATCGATCAATTATTCATTGATTTTAGTCTGCAATATCCGTGTCTCTGAGGGGAACCTACTTTTCTCCAGATTGCAGTAACTTTTTGGAATTATTGCAAAGACACCCAACCACCATTTATTATTACTTTGTCTTGTACCGTCGTTCGATGATTAAAACTCTGCGGCGCCATTTGCAAATATCCCTATTGATTTGTTTTGGCAAGATACTAGATAATTCGCAAGAAATGCAAGTGTAAGACACTGTCAAGTTCAGAGTAGATGTTTGATCCGTAAAACAAAGCACGTCACTGCCAGTGACCCTTATTTATTAATTTAGACCAATGGTGTACTTTTAGGATCTTCTGTGAAATCTGAACCTGTGTGGATTTGGTTTATTTTGTATATATCTGAATCGGTTAAACATGGGAGATCTAGCAAGGGTTAAAATTAATCCATGGGATAGTGATCAATCATTAAATGTGATCAGCAGCTACACATACTTGTAATATGGGCATTCCCCCATCAATACCAATGCTAATTATATAGAGCAAGTTTGCATTCAATCTTTTCCACAATTACTTCAATGGCTTCATGTACTTCCATTAACCGAACAAGTTTAATTGCGTGGTTCCAAAGCCATCAGGGATGTATTTCTTTTGCCCTAATATGCGTGATGCAAGTCAATTTTTATATTAATCCAGTCATAAGAATTTATCCAGCTGTTTTATAGTCGTTTTTGAAATTGTTGATAGCTACTTTCTGAATCCAAGTGCCATCAATTTCGTGCAAGACTTCCTCCAGCTATCTTTACAACTTATGACTCTTGGAGAGTATGAAATCACGAATCCAGTACTTTCTCAAGTGGAGAAATTAAAAAAGCAGTACTTTTGGCAGGTTCACTCGTCCAGGTGGCATGGTTCTGCAGCTTCTTTGTGTGCGAGGCGTGGGAGGGGGGATGTTTCTCACTTTTTACTGGTGAATCATTGCCGAGTGGATTCGCGCACTGTGTCACAGTTACAGGACAGCATCTCAGAGACGGGCCAATAGGAACACAGCTCAGGCGGGTGCTATTTTAGGGGATGGGACAACTGCAATAGGCGTCGTCACGTGCTGTGCTCGGGGCAGGGGATTTGAGTCGCCATCCAATGAAAAGGCACCTCCACCTTTTCGCGCACCCCCTTGGTCACTTTTGCCTCAGGTCAATACTTTGTCTGACGAACTCCGGTCTCCGTGATTTCCCTTCGCGTTGGCCAGTCAGCTTGCTACGTTAGCCTAATTTTTTTTCTTCTCATCCACCATCGGAAGCGTTAAAATTTCCGTACTTTGAAGGATAACATTTATTATTTAAAAAAAAGTAGGCACCAAAGGATGGTAATCACATTGTGGCCCTTTAGGATTGTAAGATAAATAAACGTGTTTTTATTTATATGTACGCATTCTGATTTCAATAATTTTTATGCATTTTAAAGTAAATAGTTTTTATGACTAACATAACCTTCTAACCGATTTTATTATCGGGTTGAATACAGAAATACCTGTAAGTGTTACTGTTGTAGTATGACATTTTTATGTTATTACCCCCATCCTCTAAGCAATAAGTTGCCCTGTCTTTGATACCCGATCAGGCACCGCCTCATCTGAAAAAAGGCCATAAACTTGCCTTTTGGCCTGCCTAAAAGCGGCATAAGATGCTTCGCTCCAGCATGTCTGCTTTTTTCCGAAGCCCCGCTTTCATTTAGCTCATTCAACAAAAACAAAGGGCGAAGAGTGAAGCTCCACAAACCAATTACTTAGAAGAGTTCTTTGTCTACAAATCGTGGGTGTGCAAAGGATCCGCATTATCGCATAAATCATGGAGAAACGAAATAATCTATTTTCCTCCTACCGATGACGCTTGGTCCTCTTCAGTAAAAGCCTCGAGCATGCGCTGTAAAATCGCGCTTTTCACTACTTGGTTTAATGAGTGTTCCTTCAAAAATAATAACATTTTAGAGATCGTTGGTTAACCTATTGTGACATGTAAGACTTGCGTGGGGCCCACTTCTTCGAAATCCGTTCGACTAAGTATATTATGGCCCTCATTTCGTATTGCAAAGTACTGCTATCAACATCTCATGAAAATTTCCAATGAGTCTGCGATTTTATCTCGAATTTTAAAAATACACTTGGAAAAAAAATTGGAATTTCCAAGCATTGGTAGCGCAAACTCTGTTACTACTCCTATTTCAAGCGCCTAGTTCCAACCTACTCGTTTATGATTATAATCACAAGACGAAACAAACGAGTTTTATTCCGTGCAATCAAAAGAACTTTGTTTTACTCGCCGTGCTCTAGGTTTGAAATTTCCATCCTTCATCAATCATCATCGGGCTTCTTTTACTTCGAACCACTTTCCCATTTGGCTCTCTTTTGATCTACTTCATCTTTAAAGGTGTAATGAATTCGACGCATTTTTAAGCTACCATAAGCATGACTGCTAGGGTTAGCATAAAGCTTACCCAAATTGAATTTTGTTTATGGGCCAGTCTATGTTCAAAATGTAGTTTAAATTAAAGGTCTAGGTTACACTTCAAGCATTTCCATTTTATTTAAATATCACTTTCCACTTCAAAATGTTAATGTCCGTTGCTTCATGATATTTACAAAATAATCTTAATTTCGTTTTCAGCATCAAAAATCCACAACGCGCATTCAACATTAACATAAAGTTGCTCTTAGGCATTAAAAATTATAACAATTCACTAACTTTTCTCATCTTAAAAATTGTCAAAGAGTGAATTAAACCAGCGTTTTTTAAGAAATGAAACAAATAATAATTTTATTGTCAGCATTGCCAGTGTCAGAGAACAAGTAAAAAACAATGTGAATGAGCTCACCGCAATCAGTAGGTAACCCCCCTTTAGGGATCAATCCATCCAAATGACGCTGAAACAGACGAGCCTAGTGTAAATCTTGTGTATACGTACGATTGACTACACACGCGTGTAATTTGTGGCAGGTTTACCGATGCCATCATTTATCTCACCCTTCCGTCCCGTACCCCTTGCTCCTCCCCTTGTCCCCTGTCCTCTGCCCTCCTTCCCCCGCGAATCACCTTTCCGCCCGACTGCCGTCGGTATTGGAGAGGGGCGGGGAGGCAAGGCAGGCGGAGCAAAAGGGAGAGAGACGTCTGTAGTCGCGTCCTGACACGCGTAATATAGTGATGGTGTCGTGGTTACAGCAGCCGTTCATAATTAGGCCACATTAGACTCCTGCTTTAAAGGCCAATCTGCCTTAAATTTTTCCATAGGTGGATGTCAATTCATTTTATAGGGAGTCATTTACTTCTCAACCAAAATAACTTATCGTGTACAACTTGGAAGTGGCCTGCTGCCGAATTTTGTCGCTAAAATCGTGGGATGCCAACGTGCCTCTGCAACCCCCATGAGCTTAACAGAAATAAACCATTGGTCACAGATGTTCCAAAAGCCCACAACCTATGCTCAATCTGGCATTATGGAAAGATCCCATACATTTGGTTCAAATTTAAACTCTTCGAGCATCCCATTCCATCAGGGCTAAATTCTATTTCGGTTTCATTAAATACTTGTAAGTAAAATCAAAGAGCTACTTACCCAGAGTTACCTTCTTCTCTGGTAATTTTGAGATCAAGTTTTCGATACTTTCATATGATAGTCCTAACATTCGATGAAAAATCACAAAATAAGCTCATTTTTGTTAATTACTTGTACTTATGACATCTAGTGGGTGTATGATGAATGTTTAAAAAGGTATGTATTTTGGCTTCTACCTCCCAATAAACACTCACACATATCAGTCATTTTAAAGATTAAACATTTCCCTTTCCAATGCATGCATGAGGATACAAACAAATTTATGCGCTCTAAATTTTGACACAAGTGAAAGATTTTGTACCATGTCTTTTGCAAGTTAAGCGACCATTTAGCGAATTCATTGAAAAATGCCCCGGACGGTAACTTTAAGGGGGATTGGTCAGCATTATCAGTGGATTTTAACAGATTGAGTGTTAGGAAGGAAATAAAGCCTCATTACCCATTATTTCCTCCTTCTTAAGCAATTCCTGATAAGGAACCTTAAACAACTTACAGTTTACTTTTCTTCTGCTGCATCATTATGTACTAACTGCAACCATTTTTACTTCAGAAAAAATTTTCGTCTTCTTTTCCTTCTTTATTTGCACGGACGAACTTACGAAATTCTAATCCCAAAAATACCCTAATTTAATTACTTATATCATTTCGGGTGGATTGAAACGAAACCACTGCTATCCTTATATATTGTTTCCAAAGATATGTTCAGTTTCTGCCCATCCTAACCTGTAACCAGTCTAATTTAATGGGTTTCGTAAAGCATGCACTACTGCTCAATCCACTCAACCGCCGTCCTAGAAATCATTTGCGGATGCAGTAAGTCTTGCCCTCATTTGCCTCGTTATTTACTCTACGCTGAACACGTAAAACTGCTTCAAATGTATTTTAAACGGCTTGGAAATGCTATCACACGTAAAGTAAATTGAAAATAAATTGCGGACATTTAAGAGAATAACATAATGGAGAATTTGAAATATACTTTGCTTTTTTTAAAGTGTACTTCGCCTCTATCCACAGCTATTACCAAAGCCTTAAAACATTAACCACATTTACACCGAAGATGCGGCGATAGATATTAAAACAATCCATACGACTTAAGTACATAATTTGCTTCAAGCACGATTTCCACTGGCAACAATATATACCTACTTAACACCAGAATACGCAGGGAATAGCAGTTGACATCCACTGATTTATTCATAGGGCTCATTAAGTATCATTGGCATAATAACGAGAATGTTCAGAGAATAATCGACTAATTACAAATACTGGTCGTTGGTAGTTTGTGTACCAATCCAGTGATCACTTCAAAAGTACTCGCATAGAAACTCCTACTTGATGTGATGCCATTATTGGGAAGTAATTCATGCGATACCTCACCATGATGCTAATCACTACTCCTTATTTCCTTTAAACTCGTCTGTTTCCCCTTAATGAGTGATTACGACCACTACATTTAAACTAAGAACTTTCATCATTGCCCCAACGAAGAGAATGTTACACTTCTTCTAAAAACACCGGGGAATTTTACCTGGGTGCAACAAACACATCTCATCATAAACGAGACTCGCCAACCTCATGCAGTGACTCCGAAAGGCAAACCATAATATTAACCAACAGCAGGTCTCCCGGTTTCACCGAATAGTACGACTTTCATGGAGGGTACATTATCTGCTTTCCATAACCTTCGGTCGAACTAATATCCTGTGAACACTGGGATTAAACGACTTTAGCCCCATAAAAGCTATAGCAGCTGTCGAAACCCCGCATACCAGCCTACCTCCTCCAGCCCGCGGTATCACACTAGAAGCGATTCCTCGTAAACAAACTACCACTCCAGTTGAAGGCAGCAGCCAACTCCTTTCTACATTCACATTACTTGAACCGGGCGACACCTCAGAAAGACAGCAACCAGGAGCGTGCAGCACCAAGACGAGACCCTCAGGACCGTCAACCGGCTCCCTGGCCAGACGCCACCGTATTGAACACTGGAGGAAACCCCGGCTGCTCCATTAAGCTCCACCCCCACCGAGAACCTCCAAGAATATTCAGGCCAAGAAACCCCCCCATCGCGTAACCAGCTCGATTTAAAAACCTATTGCATCTCAACCGCAAATTCAAAAACACGGCAGTCAAGGCTCCCTTGTAACAACCTAACCCAAGCTACCAAAGTTATAGGGACAAATCACATGACAGGACAGGGCCGCCTGATGACTCATGCCACCCACTCCAGTGATCAGAATTTGATTTTAAATACATAGAGCGTCGTCAACCCACATTTATTAAAACTCGAGAACCACAACACTGCAAAGACAAAAGTGTGCTTGGAAGGAGACATGAGCTCTTAAAATCCACGTTGAGAAAGGGTAGCGTTTAAGACCTAAAACACAAGAGAACAATAAAGCCTGGTCGGAAGTATGGCTGTGGCTCACAATAAGACTTCCAAGGGA